GGAAGCACTGTCTGACGCGTCTGCCTCCGCGACCCGAAAGGAGAAGCGGCGATGGAAGATGATGAAGATTATCTGCTCACTTTTTCTTGGTCTTCTTGTTATCTTCCCTGAATGTGTCACCGTTTAGGCTGTGTACTCGGTGGGTTTTCCTTTCGATTGACCGAATCAATAAAGCCTGCTTTTGAAACTTATTCGAAACTGGTTTTACACCTAAAGTGCCTCTTATGAAGTTGTTCCGGAAATAGTCCTTCTTACTAATATCACACATCAATCTCAGCATGCATTTCTTCCGGGTTCATCTATAGCTCGTGTCCCTTCAGGATAGCCAAGTATTTCGCTTCCTACAGAAGTACCGGTCTTGGTATCTTTCTGAACTCATTATTGCGTATTTTGATGAGTTTCTTATTGCGTGGCACATCATTCATTTTACGTTCTTACGACAGATTTCTTAATTCACTGTCGATTTCCCCATTGTCTTGCAGAATGGAACCAAGACAGATAAATTCTTGGATTTAAGACAGTATACTCCCGTTACTTTTACTGATTTTTTTAGCTTTCATTCTGTTTCGCCATTAAAATAACTCGATTTATATTCTACGTGACTTTTTTGAACCAGAGGTCGTTCTTCTCAAAAACTGTTCTGCATGGCTCAGTTTTTGCCTCTACCACTGTTCTTCTTTCACTGACCAGCAATAAATCATTTGCATAGATTATGCATATAACGCTGCTTCCCGTATATCTTTCGTTACTGCGCCGGTCGCCATCGAGAACAGAAATGGACTCAGTGCTGAAACTTGATAGACCCCTACCTGGACAAAGAATTCTTCTGTTTCACCATATGTAGTTTGAATTGTCTATGAATCTGAGATCTTTTGGGGCATCTAACTTGCCTCTTCTGCTCATCCTCTGACCTGTGCATTCAGACATCGGTTATGCTAAACGATGTTCCAGTCGTCGTCGTCTTTCGACTCTCGCTGACTAAGGGGGGGGGAGAAGGGGGCTTGAACGAACGGTTGAATTGAACGCCGATCAACGCCCCTGTCTTTTAGTCAAGTTTAACGGCGGCAACGGCTGAAAGTTAACAGGAATGCAGGCGGATGGAGTTTCACGACCTCTTTCTCGTACAAGGAACTTTCAACGCACTAGTTGAAACTGTCTGCCAGGTGAAACCGGTATCCATCGTCTAGCGACGACGTAAACGTTGCGCCTCAGTGGAAATTTTCATTTTCTTCTTTCGATCTCAGCTTAACGTCGCCTTAACGATTAACTAAGCAAATGAAGTTTACCAGTCGACTGGCTGTCCTTCCTCGTCCAGACATTGAAAGCCAGCGCCCAAGCGTTCAGCGAACAACACGAAGAGTATCGCGGTGATGATGGCCATCGCTCGACGGAGACAAACGTTCACGAACGTCACCAACGTTGCAACAGTGCTATGCGACCAAACCGCTCGGTAACCGATTTGAGTGCATATAATCAGGCGAAGTAAAAACATTTTAGTAAACTGGTAAAAACGGCTGTTTATTGCTACAATTTCTTGCTAGTTGCACGCTAGAGGTGAAAAGCAGGACGGCAGCTAGATAAAATTGTTGATTGCCTTTTGTCGTAGTATGGAAGGAGTCGGCTTCGATTCCCACTGAGGTCCATGTTTATCTGAGTGATAAATTTTCCTGAGTGACGAACTTGCTACATTTGGCTCTGTCAGTACAGAACTGGACGAGGTCTCAGGTGGACCTACTGTAGAATTTGCATTTGTTCCTTCAGAGTTGATGAATGAGTGCCATTCTAGGGTGAGGAAATAGGAGACTAGAAACCATGCTTACCTTGTAGCTGTAGACTCTGCTTTTAAAAGCGAGGCACTGATGTTTGATGACGTGGAAATGAAGATTAGCATTTTGCTGCTCTCTTCACGAAAAGAAGTGCCCCAGAAACGCTGCCCCCGTCAGAAAATTCGAAGACCGACATTCCAGTGGTTGAAAACTTTCCTTCTTTCTTTTCCTTTTCTACTTTTTGATTGTTCTTCCATCGAACTAACGGCCTACTGAAATCGACATTACGAAGACTCAGGCATGCTTTGAGGAAAGTCTGTGCGACTAATGTTACAAAACATATCAGTTTATGATCAGGTAAGGTTTTGTTTAGTGATATTTTTACTGATTCGTGTTCTGAGTATGTTTGACATAGCTTCATTGCCGACGATGCACGAGGCTACGTACTTCATGACTTAATGTGAACTCATTTTAAATTTGGTAGATGATTGTCACAGTATCGTTTCATTGCCAACTTTCTGGTGACGTCAGTTTTTGTGAAACTTTTGGCGATGAAACAGCCGAATTAATATAAAGTTGTGACTATTTGACCGGTTGTTATTGGAAAAAGATTATATTTTTAAATTTATCGTCTACTTATTGATAAGTTGATCGATTCAACCAGTGATTAAATGATTGATTTGTTCATTCATTCATTCGGCCTTGGTGGGATAAACTTTGATGAAGTTTTGTAACAGTTTTCGGTGCTCCTCGGTTGAGCTAGTTGTGAATGTTTGACGTGAAGCGCGACTGCAGCATGCCGACGGTTCATTCTACGGAACCCATCTGAAACAGATGTTCCAGTTTTCAAAAATGACTGTGCTGATGTTATGGGTTGCATGAAGATGCTTCTATATTGCCATTTGTACTCATTACCCACCATTACTCATTATTCATTACCAGTCATCTAGTTAAACGCGTAGAAGTTTAACTGATAGTTAACGTGGCAACCTGGTTTTTTAGTACGCTAAAAAATCAAGGAGCTGCAGCCAGTACGTTTTTAGTTTTATATCTTTGTCTATAGTTCGTACCCGCTCCTTGCTAATTCGAATGATGGGGTAACCGTGCAACCTCATCATTTGTAAATGACTTAACTTTCATAGAATCCTGCTTTGCTTCCTGCGCGTTCGATGGCATTATAGGCCAAAAATTTTAAGAAGCAATGTCAAAACATATATGATCGAACGATTCATGTATCAGGGCGTCTAATACATAGTAAATTTCTTATTGTCAACACCTTGCACTGCATAAACCGTAGCATCATGGGATGATCAAACTGATAGAGAAGGAATCGCTTCACGTCTCATTGAATGAGAACAGGCTGGGGTAATTGCTAAGCTTCCTTCGACCTCGCAGAAGGCTGGAATGTACCGTATCTGCTAATTAAATTAATCTATATTATTGCAATACCTATTAGTGCATGAACCATCAGCCTCAGGTTGCGCTCAGAACCGCTGAATCGGAAATGCAGAGGCTTTACGCTTTTGTGCCTTTGAGCAGAATGAATTTCCTGATATAACTACAGTAGTCATTCTACACATTCACGATTTGATGATTAGGGGTGATAAACTCAAAGGAGCTTTAAATTTAATATATTATTTGCGTATTTTTCTGTCGTCTAATTGTTTGCTCCAATGACAAATTGATGAACACTGTCTTGTGTCATTGTGATTGCAGCAACTTCGTTTCGGGAGCTATAAGAAGCATTCTTGCTTATACGCATGACGCTGGACGTACTCCACGTCTAGTAGGAAATCTTTAACGTAATTATATATAGTCTTCTCGCTGTAAAATCCGGGTTGTCTTCTGTTTTGCATGCGAGGGCATGGCAGATTGTAGAACATTGTTGGTAGCTAGTCCAGGAGGGTAAATATCCAACTGGCTATTCCGCTAGTCTATCGGTCGGTCGGTCAGTCAGTCAGTCAGTCAGTCAGTCAGTCAGTCAGTCAGTCA